CACACACACACACCATATATATATATATATATATATATATATATATATATATATATATATATATATATATATATATATATATATATATATATATATATATATATAATATATATATATATATAATATATATATATATATATTATATTATATATATATATAATAATATATATATATATATATATATATATAATATATATATATATAATATATATATCTATATATATATATATATATATATATATATATATATATATTATAATATATATTATATATATATATATATATATATATATATATATATATATAATATATATATTATATATGTATGTATATATGCACAGTACATATATATAAATATATACATATATATACATACATACATACATATATATGTATATGTATAATATTATATATATATATATATATATTATATGTGTGTGTGTGTGTGTGTGTGTGTGTGTGTGTGTGTGTGTGTGTGTGTGTGTGTGTGTGTGTGTGTGTGTGTAGAATATAGAGTTCATGCACAGCTGGGGTAAAAAATCCGCATTAACGGTGCGAATGAGTAATGTTTGCGAGCACAGAACGCATACGCAAAAATCACAGTTTCCATGCACAATTCTAGAGTTCATGCACAAGTACAGATAGGGTAACAGGTATTTTGGAGATAATATTAAATAATGGTAAATAGGTGATAGGTGATATAAGATTCATAATGGGTTCTAAGATTCAAAATGGGTTATATCTAATGGTAAATAGCTAATAGGTGAAATAAGTTTTAAAACTGGTTATATCTAATGATAACTAGGTGATAGGTGATATAAGTTGTAGTGCTGAATGGGTACAAGATAATTTACTCCTTTCCCATAATTCTCTTTGATAAGAAAGAAAAAATGCATGTGAGAAATGATGAAGAAAAATGTCATGTCAAAAATCATATCCTTCTTGTAACGGTTTTAGAAAAAAAGGCAATGTATAAATAAAACAAAAGCGACAATTCCTGCACCAAGCCTCGCGCCAAGGAAACTTTACCCTCCACCTTATAGCAGATTTATTTCGAGAAGTTGTCGTTTTCCGCTGCTAAATCCACGACGAAGCTCGCCTTTGATTCCCGGCGTTTGAGAACCCAAGCTTAAACTGAAACCCCGAGCAGATGGCGCCACGGAAATCGGAGCCCCTTCACCCCTTTAACCCTTCCCTCCGTCCCCCCACCCCCGCCTCCTTGCGCCCCTCCCCCTTCGTCTTCGTGCAGACATCTTACTTCCTCCCCCCCCCCAAACCCCGCCTCCTTCTTACACCCTCTACCTCCCTCTCCATCTTGCTTCTTCATCCCCCTCTTACATCTATCCTTTTGGGATGGGGGACATAAGCCCTTCTAGGTAGGGGGCACCGCCTCTTCGATCTACCACTTTAGGGAGGAGGGGGTGTCTGGCCTTCTAGGTGGAGGTGGGGGTCATCTACCCTTTTAGACAGGCTGGGGTATATCAAGAGGAGGAGGTGGGGCATTCCCTTCTCGAAAGAGGAGGGGGATATCTACCCTTCTATAGAGAGGAATGGGGCGTCTACCCTTCTTAATTGAGGAGGGGGACATTACCTTACTCGGGGGAGCGGGGGAGGGAGGGGGGATATCAACCTTTCTCAGGGGGGAGAGGAAGGGGGCGGTTCTTCTACCCTTCTATAGAGAGGAAGGGGGCGTCTACCCATTTAGACAGAGGAGGGGGCATCAACCATTCAATAGAGAGGAAAGGGGCATCTACCCTTCTAAACAGTAGAGGGGGATATCAACCTTTCTCGGGCAGCGGAGGGGGACATCTACCTCTTTCGCTGTAGACGAAGGGGGCATCTCCCCTTTTAAGTGGAGAAGAGGGGGGCCTCACCTCTGTTGCCAAGCTGGGTCGGCGTGTGGATTCCTTCGACGCGTGGATACGGCTTGGAGGGATGAACGCCAGGCATGTAGGACCCTCGCCACATGCCGCGCGGGAAGGAATGCCAGGCTTGTAGACCCGTCGCCACATACCCTGCAGGAAATGAATCCACATATCATGCAGGGATGAACGTCACACATAGTTTTTTTCGATATGTTGTTTTGTAATTAAATCCACTACCATGTGGAGATAGACGTCAGATAGAGATTCTTCGCCACATGGTAAGGAAACTAAAACCACATATGATACAGGAGTGAACATCTTTTCCGTAGAATCTTCTCCACATGGCATGTAGTAATTACATCCACATCCATGCAGGAGTGACGACTACGTTTGTGAAATCCTCGCTACATACCTTAATTAAAGGGTTAATACCAGCCTGTGTAATATATAATAGACACCCAATAGGAAATAGCGCCATTAGGTAAAAGAAAATGGAAACATTTTATATTATTTTTTTCTTCCTTTTCATTATTTTATTATTATTATTATGTGATTCCGTTTTTTTTTCTTTTTTGCTTTAGCTATTTTCATTATTTTGTTTCCTTTTAGATTATTTGTTTGTTTTTCTTCATGCC